CCACGAGCGGCACGTTAAGCGGGGAATTATGGCTTTAACAAACAGTTGGCATTAGTCAGCCATAGAATCGCTTGATTTATAGACTAAAATCACAAGCCAACTGACAGATAGAAATGCGGGCGGATAATTGGAGCTCTTAGCTGAGAGAGAATCCCTTACGTTGCATGATGTCATCCCAAAGAGTTTAGCCACATTGGTTTACAAACTGAAATCAAACTGCAAATAAAAACAAAACTTTTGTCGTAATCAAATTTAAATTGAAATGCATTTACAAGCGCTATATATTTACAGTTGATTGCTGCAATTAATTCATATAAAGTTAACTGCATTTACACTGTGATTACGCGAAACTTTCATTCACAATCGTTTAGCCCATCTGCCATCTGACAAGAACATGAAACAGTAATCACAATTTGTGTTGCATTTTTGCTCGAATTCTGGCAGTGACCGCAACATGGACAAATTGCAATTGGCAAATGGTAACTGGCAACTAGCAACAGCAGTGACCACAACATTGACAACAGCCACGCCCCCTAACAATAACAGCCGTATACAGTGGGCAAAGGACAACTTTGAAAGGCAAATGAGAAGCAGCAGAAGCGATGCGTACATTTTGAAATTTCTGTTAACAGTAAGAGTATTCTAGTCCAGACTGCTCGACTAGGAGATACCCTTAAACCTGCAAAGAGCTTTATCTACCATGCTCGTCATCATGATCAAAAATGTATATATACTTTATGGGCTCTGTCACGCTTTTTTCTGTTACACATTTCCCATGTTCAATGGGTTCAGTGTATAAAAAAAACTAATATTGGGGCTTAAGACATCAATATCTCAAGAACATCAATATATTCATATGCATTTTTTAACTCTGTTGCTTTGCCTTTAATTTTGGCTTGCTTTTTTTTTTTTGCTTTAAGTTTGACTTTAACTATGTATGACTTTAACTTTGAGCTTTATCTTTCTCCAATCTGAAATGTTAAGAATTTTTTTTTTGTAATCAGCATTTGCAAAACTTATTATATATTATTATACAAATTTCAAATTTTTGTATTATTATACAAATTTGAATAGTCTGGCACCACTGTGCGCAGTGCAATCGATACAAATTATACCAAAAACAAACAACAATGTCATGAGCAGAGCAGCCCAGTAATAAATGGCAAACTGCATTCGTTATACCTCGCAGACAAAGAGAACGCTAATGGGTCTGATGCATCCGCCTCTGACTCTGGTAGCAAAGTGAAAGATGATTCTAAGCTTAAAGAGTGCTGAGTGCGTAAGATGAGTATGATTGAACGACTCATCAAAATGATCAGAGAATGGTGCAGCTGACTCTCAGCAAGTGAGATGATCTTGGGCAAAACTCATAGCAATCGCTCATATGATTAAGAGAGCTAAAAAACTGATTAAATTATTTTCCTGTAACCATTCGCAATTTTTATCATTCATGAGATTAGTCAGATGATCTTGAGCAATCGCACATAGATCACAAAGCATGAAGTTTATGTTCTCTGGAGTTGTTTAACTATTTTCCTAGAACTGCTCGCCTATTCCTGTTTTCGAGCTGATCAACTTAATATTATGTTTCATTTAATAAATCCTCGACTAGTTTTTCAACTATTTATTTCATTAAACCAAATTGCAGCAATATTTTGTTAGCTGTGCACAGGGTATTCAAACTGAAACATGCTTCACATGTTGATTTTGTCATTGCGCCAGAGGCAATAGAACTCATCACAGCTGCGAGTGAAAGTCGAATATGCAAAGGACACGCACACACACAAACGCATACACAGATATATACACACACATAGACTTTACACAAACTGGCTAATATAGGCTAATATGTATATAGAGTGGGCGGGTCAGCCATAATGTGTGTGCGTGTGTGTGTTTCAGAGTCAACAGCTATTTGCAGTCACGCTAAGCGAGAAAAGGATTAGCAAGCGCCCACACACATGTCTGTCAATCCATCTACATATATAACATTAGCATCTCATCAATATGGCCTCGGGGGCAGTTGGCATTCAAGACGTGCTCGGCATCTTTATGGCCATCTTTAAATTATCAACTCAATAAAGAATTATTCACACATCATATTTATTTGCCAACGATTGCCCCGCCCGAGCGCCGCGCTGCCCCGGCCAGGCCAGGGCTCGCCTGTTTGATGTGTGCTTCTCAGATATTGGCTTGACTTGTTTTTATGGATTTGTTTATAACTCATCGCCTCTCAAATTAGCGATTCGACAGTTGAATTATTTGCTTGGGTGTAGGCGCACATAACGCTTATAAAAGTTTATTTAAAAACAATTACTGTTCAAAGATTGAGCTGAGATTAGCATCGGGTAAGGTTTCAGATACAGCTGACAAGCAGTAGCCGCGCCACATATATGTGTATTCAATATATATATTTGTATATTATATATTGAATTACAGAATGTAACCAAACCAGTTGAAAGGCTTCGGTTTGCAAGATGCGCCTGACCAAGGTAGTCAAGCGGACAGTTAAGGAACAAATACTAAAAGGAAGCAAACAAAGCAGAATGAAAGCGTCTCTTCGAAGCTTTAATACCCTAACATCCATAAATGCAAATGCATATTTGTAAAGCAACAAAATCAATTTAGTGTTTATATTTACGTTCTGGTTTAATATTTATAGGATATGCATATAGTGAGGAATAAGAGTAATTTGTAGTCGAGCAGTTTCGAGGAAAGAATATATTATTTTTTTACTTTTCAAAAGTAGCTTTTTTTATTAAATATTTGATATTTCCTATTGAAATATTTTAATTAACAATTCAAGTTTATATTTCTTCATTGCTTATATAAAAAGATAATAATACTCTGCCTTACTTTCCCTTACCTAAACTCAATGTGAGCTCTATTTATGGAATTCAGACATGCCCTACAACATTTTGAATACCCTCTACCACGCCAGAGTGAAGGAGCATACAAAAACTGGCGTTCAAGGCCAACTCAAAGGGATTCAAGGTTGTAAATTACCTGGTTTCAGCCAGGAAGCAGCCAACTTGAAGATGCAGCTGCAGATTGTTGTTCTTGGCAATCTGTGCGAAAACGGGTTTCACAACAAAGGCAGCTTCCGAATTTCGAACTGCCCAATGCAATGCGAGCTTATGAAGCACAACAAAGGCAGCGATACTTACAGGGTATCTGCAGAACATCCATTATACATGGAATTGGCCTAATGCACAAACTCAAACACAACCGGAAAGTTAAACACAAACCAAATGTCACGTATACGCCATGTGACCAGCAGCAGGTCAACATTAATACCAATAGATATTGACATACTTTATGCAGGAGTCAACACCCGGAATCGATATATGTCCATATATATATATATAGACTGATGCGGTCCTTGCTATATGTTATGTGTGCTAAAGGATATACAAAATTAATATGTCAAATGAAATTGATTTATGGTCAGTTGATTTATTCATCTGCCCGACATTTGTTTTGTTCCGTGTTTCGAAAACATTTCGTGTTCCCAATTTCGTTTTAGCCAACAAATCTTTAAATAAATAATTTGATGTATTTGGCTTTTAATATGAACTTTTATTTTTTGTTTACTTAGAGGCGTGCTCGACCTCAGTTGAAGGATTTAACTCTTAGAAGATGCATATGATATAATTAAGTTTTGGTTTCACTTAACAAATTTCAGTTTTCTTAAATTTTATATAGTTAACTTTTAGTAATACATAAAAAGAAAATGTTTTCAGCCTCAGATATTACTGTCTTTCTGAGAATAGTTGCAGATTAATGAAATAATTTTGATGTATTATATAACTTATATTAAAAAATCAAAATCAACCGTTATTCGTTGGAAGTAAACCGTAACTTGAGAGGAGCTACGACCCAGCTAATTCTGCTTAAATCTCACTTACAGAATTTGTAAAACATTTTTCAATATAAGAGATTTCACTTACCACTTGAATTTAAATTGCATTTGCTTCAGTATTATTTTTATTTCGTATAGTTTTTCTTGTTTATTATTTATTTTCTATTTATTTTCTTTTACTTCCTAGAGATTTGAAATATTTGAAGTGCTGTGCAGTTTAGGTAGGTGCATAATTTACAATTGGATTAGAGTTAGCATCAAGGTGGATCTTTAACTGCAGCTCAACTACGAAAAATGTTGGGAGCTCAATACGGTGTGGTATAAGACTTTTGTAAAAGAGTACAAATGCTACGTGCTGCTGCAGAATCAATTGATATAATTAATTTGTACATAAATTTACGAAAACAAATAAACTATAAGAGAAAACTCTCAGATACGTTTCAATTCAATTCAGAAACGAACATAAAAAGAAATTCTACCGAAAATATGCAAAAATTTCAAGTGGAAACATATAATAAAACTAAAAGAAATGTTGAAGAAATTTTTTTTCTTTTTTTTTTTTTTTTGAAAAGCGTTGGATAGAAATAAAAATTCTGGTTGGTGAACTTACTGCCAGGAGAAGCTGCCGGTGATGCCATCTTTGAGTCGATCCCTCAGCGAACGCTGTCGACTTGGACCGGAGCCGGTGAGCGGCGGCAACATCGTATTCTCGCCATCCTCCAATACCGTAACGATATTTGATGCGGATGTCGATATCGGGGCGCTGCCGGCATGCTCCATTATCGGTGGCTGCTGGTGGTGCTGGTGGTGGAAATGCGGATGGGTCGTGGGATGTGGCGAGCCCGGTGAACCCGCTGGCGAATCTCTGTTGTTCAGATGGCGTCGGATCGAGCCGTGACGCGGTGAATTTTCGCGTGACATTTTGTGTTTTGGTTTTTTTTTTTTTTGGTTTTAATTTGTTTTGTTTTTATTGAACAGAAATTTGCATAAAATAATTAGAAGCATAAAATAATTAGTTCCAATTATTGAAAGTTTTCTTTGGTTTTAAGTTTTTTATTTTATTTATTAAATTTTTTTTCTTTTTTTTTTTTTAGATGAAGAAAACGAGCGATCTTGCTTTGTTGTTGTATTTTTTTTATAGGTGGTGAATTTATTTATTATTATAATTGCACATAGAGCCAAAAAATGTTGTGTAAAAGTTTGCTATAAAAGGGAATTAGGCATAGACCAAAGAAAATTAGTTGAAATAAAAGAAGAAGAGAAAGAAAACGTATTCCCAATGGAGATACATACGTAGAAAATTCACAAGAAAATAGTTTTAGAGTTCAGTTTTAGAATTATTTTGAGGAGTGCTTTTCGTGTGAGTGTGTGGAGTATATGAGTATAAGAGCATGTGGAAATTGAAGTAGAAGAGTTCTGCACAGATGTGGATAGCTATAGCTAGTTATAAGAGTTAGTTAGAAGAGTAAAATTTTAATGCCAAATAAATACGAATATGAATATATAGAGGCTGTCTTAAATTAGTTATCAGGCGTTCTCAAGCAGCATGCACGTGTTTACTGATTAATTAATTAATTAATTATTATTTGAATTATTGCGTAAGCAAATTAAGCGGTTGGAATAGTAATCGATAGCAAAGTAAAACGCACATAGTTAGCCCGTGCTTATTGCTCACGCATTATCATAATCCAGCATAATCGCGTAGCCTAGGTGTATCCAAATTTCAAATAGCAAATCATACGAATCGGACGTATATAACTATTTACATATATGCATATAGCTCTACGGGTGTGGTAGGCGCTTCTATATATTGTATAGTATATATGGATAGTCGGGTTTTGGGGGGGATGTCAGTCAGCGTTTAGTATTTGTTTTTGGGTTTATAACATTAAAAGGCACACAAAAGTAGTATATATACATATAGAGGTATATATACAGGAAACGATATTCTTATAGATAGTACGAGTATTAAAACGTTTAGTAAACAGCAAGTTGTATGTACATTTAGGCAGACATTTGTTAGAGAGTGTTAGACAATCTATATATTGTGGACATTCGATATTCGATATTTGATATTCGATATTGATATTTCAGTTTTTGCTTTGTCTTTCGCTCTTCCGTTCTCAGCTATTGCACAAATATTGACATACAACTATTCTATATCTATATTGGTATAGCTGGATAATACGTCTAGGTGTCTGTTTTTGTGTGTATGTCTGTGTGTGCCAATGGGCATAGCTGTTATACGAGCATTGTGTTTTAATTAGTATTGCGGATATTCATAATTTAATTAGCAATAGGCATATTCTTTATATATTGAATATTGTAATCTTCATTTGTGTGGCTGTATGTGTGTGCGTGTGTCTATTATGGTTCAAGTTGTTCTTTATCTGTCTGCCAATGTCATTAGTTGAGGTTTATTGCTGTTTGTGTGTTTGTGTGTACTGTATTTATTATCTTTATAATATGTATATTATTAAGTAGATTGGATAGTAGATTTAGTGGGCAACGAACCTGGAAAAAGAAAGACATTTTTAATCAATACATTTGAAAGAAAAAATATGTATATCTAAATATATATATATATATACTTCATCTGAGATATGTATAAGAAATTTAATATTTTTTGCTTGTGCATATACTTAAACTAAATTAGGAACTTCAAGGTCTTACGAAGCGCTAAAAACCTAATTTATTGTCGATTTTTATCGATATCTTAGATGCGTTCATGAAGGTGTTTAAAACCAGCTTTGGAAAAACAGCTAAAGAAATTAGTCATTAGTTATTAGTCATTAATTATATGAATGGTTTATATTCATACAGTTTGAGACCCTCAAAAAATATATTTACATTTAGCTTTTCCATCAAGTTCCCATTAATTTAGGCGGATTCTTGCTTATCCACCATATGGCATGTGCTCTCCTGGCTTTAAGTTACATATTCTACAGAATTGCATTCCATAAAGAAGTTACATATTTGGTTGGTAATTTAACAAAATAATGAATAATCGAAATGCTCATCATAAATTGACAATCAACAACTTAAATTCATTACATACTTTAAGGCTGCCGCGGAAAATGAATACCAACTACAATTGTACCAAGTTATACTGTGAAAAGTGTACCGAAATATAACGAGCAACCAATTCGACAGTGCAAAGTGTACCTCGACGAGAACCATAGTTCTGTTTGCACATCGCCACTCATCCATTATACTCTTTTCCTGACATGAATAATTCATTTTAGGGCTTTGGTTATTTGACAGCAAATTTAAATGCATCTTGACATTGGACTTTGTGTCGAACACACGGACTACGGCCAGCGGGCGCATTTCAAGGTTTGTCAACAATGTGTTGAGGGCGTGGCATTGCATATCCTGTTTTATCCGTTTGAGCACTTTACACAGATTTGGCTGAACCAAAGCCAGCAGAGGAAAGCTTGAATGTATTGTATGCGACTGTGACACGGGCTGAACCGGCGTTTAGCCTGCTGACACTTAAAGGTTTGGATATAAGTATCTGTATCTCTGCATCTGTCTGTATTTGTATCTATCTATGGGCCAGTCATAGATACAGATACAAGATACAAGATACAAGATACAAGATACAAGATACAAGATACAAGATACAAGATACAAGATACAAGATACAAGATACAAGATACAAGATACAAGATACAAGATACAATCCTTAATTCCAAATCCCATAACTAAACTAACTTGATCCTTGATATATTACAGCCAAATGAAGATCTATCTATCTATAGCTTCACATACACTTCCCTATTGAGCAATAACTTGCATCACTTCCAGCTCACTTCAGACTCAAAGCGCTTGTCTTTTGTCTGTCGTCTATTCCGATTGCCTCTCAGTTTACACAATTTTGGCCAGTTCATCAATCTAAACAACAATTGAGCGCAACTTAGGGTACAAATTAAATTCGAAACCATTTATATGCGCTCTTGGCTAGAGAACAAACAATACCTCAAATGCTGACTCGACTCGAGTGAGCATAGGAAACGGAAAATGCAATAAAGATGCTGCAAAGCACCTGCTGCTGCTGCTGCTGCTCCTGCTTGTTATTTCCTGTTGCTTTTGTTGCTGGTTGCAAGCTAACCGAGCCGAAGCCAAGACAAATGTGTTGTAAATAACGCGTATCAAAGTGTTGTGACAACGCCAACGGCATTCGAAGTTGGATAAGTGGAGGAGCAGATGCAGTAGGAGGAGAGAATATGGGGTGTGAGTGGAGAAAGAGGCGGAACAGTACATGTAGATAGAGCTAGAAATAGGAATTGAAGNCTTATATCTTATATCTTATATCTTATATCTTATATCTTATATCTTATATCTTATATCTTATATCTTATATCTTATATCTTATATCTTATATCTTATATCTTATATCTTATATCTTATATCTTATATCTTATATCTTATATCTTATATCTTATATCTTATATCTTGTATCTTGTATCTGTATTTGTATCTGTATCTGTATCTATATACATATATATTTCTCTCTCTTCAGCAACCTCATAGTTTCTATTCCTCTTACTTGTATCCGTATAGTTCTCAGGCTATCCTCAAATATTTTGTGCGCTATATCTGGCGTATCTCTATAGATGCAAAGGTTGAACAAGGCTCATTATGATTATTACGAGCAGTTGTTCCTGATATTGTTGTAGTTAATGCCCCGCCTTTCACGCGTTGTCTGTTGCTCTTAAACAATCCCAATCCCTCCCAGTTTCCTCTTCCTTTGCTGCTGCTCCTGCTGCCTTTGTGCAGCATTTTGTTGGCCACAATGTTGTCGCTGGCGTTGCATGCGCTGTATGAAAACTATGAAATGAGCAGCAAATGCCGAAAGGCGGGCGGATAGGCGGGCAGCCCGGCCGAGGCACATTTAATGCTCGCACTTAGAACGCATTACATTAGGGACTGCACAGTGGTACGCACTGCATTATATTTAAGCAAATTGTATGAGCGACATTTCTTGGTAAAAACTCACTCTTATAGCTTTCGCTAATTTATACCAATTTCATCTCTTATCATAGGTTAAAATATATCATTTTATATGTTGACTGTGAACTAATTTTACAAGAGTAAAACTCTTTACGAGATAAATACATTTGGTAGACAGATGAAAACTAGTATATTGATATTAGTACTATAGTTTTAAAGCTTTATGAGCCTCGTTCATATATATGTATATACTGATGCCTCTAGCTCTTATATTATCAAGAAATTTCTTTATAAAGCAACTCTTTTCTGCCACTGTACCTCTGGCTGTAGCTCTGGCTGCGGCAGTAGCTGTATTTGTGTGTTGTCATGTGCGACGAACTTGAAAAAGTGTATGTGTGTGTGTGTCTGTATACATATATTTATGTATGTGTGTGTGCTTTTAATATGTGCGCTTGTATTAATGTCTCGGCTGTGTTGAGTAATGAATGCCGCCTGCCACAGCATTGAATGCGAGAATCCAATGTCCTTACACGCGTCTACGCCCACAACAATTTTGAAGGCTATGCACTTAAGCGAGGTCGTAAAAAGCTGAAAGACAAAGAAAGAGCAAGGGAACGAGCGGCACTGAGTGAGAGAGAGAGAGAGAGAGAGAGAGAGAGAGAGAGAGAGAGAGAGAGCGAAAGAGAAAGTCAGGAAGTGTTATATAAAATGTTTGCAAAAACTTTAAGCCTTTTGAGACACAGCATTTAATTTTTGGTTACACTATGGTCATACACATACAGTAACTATATAAGTGTCGGCGTGTATGTGTGTGTGTGTGTGTGTGTGTGTGTGAGTTGTGCATAATTTCCGTTTCCGCTGTGCTTCTGTAATGTTTCCTGACACCTCGCTTGTTGCCGCTTGTCGCCATTTTTACCCTTTTCATTCATAATTGCAGGATGCTAGATTTCTTTTTTCTCTCTTTCTCGCTCGTTCTTGCAGTTTGTTTGCATGCGCAAACAGCAAGGATATCCTTGAGTTGGCAGTGAAAAAATATTTATACTGCGAATGCACTTTTAGCCAAAAGCCAAAGGCAAAGCCCTAGCCATAGTCGTAGCCAAAGCGGATTAAAGTCTTAAAGCAGCATCAGTCCCAGCTCTCAGTTCGCATAAATTTCCACTCATTTAGCTCTAATTGAGTTTGGGGAGCGAGGGCGGGGCCAATGCATTAGCTGACCAATTTGACCATTGGGGTTTACAGTTAGTTACCCTACTCGACGGATGCATTGTGCCTTCTGGCTTGGTCATATGCAAATTACATGCCCATATTTCACATCCACATCCGTTGACAATGACCAAAGGGGATGCCCAGAGGGTGTATACGTAATGTATGAGCCCATCCAGGGCGTATACGTAATGCAGCTTGCCGTGCAGCAAATCGAAAAATCAGAAAATCTGCAAATCTAGTCCGCAGCAGCAAACGCATACAAAACGAATGTGGACCACGCTCGTCGGGACCTGTATGTATGTAATTTATGCATAAAATGGAGTCAATTTCACAATGGAAGCGCCCTTTGTTTCGGCCGATGGCACATAAAATATGGACATCAACTTTAATCAGTGCATATATGCCTGATCGGGCAGCTGATTCACTTCAGTGAACTGCAATGGTTTAAAACTAAATTACCTATTTACTGAAACTATTGTAATACAACTGGCTCAGAGCTTTTGGTTGGACGAGCTCTATATGGATATACAAAAAAGGATTTCTAAATTCATTAGTTTCTTAAATTTATAGTATAGGGTATAAGAAAATATTTTATCTACAACAATTTGACTCTAGGTAGAAAAACACAATTTAATATATTGATATCTAACGATTTAGGGAAAAAAATAATAATAATCATAATAATAGTAAGAATGGTACTTCAAAGACGATCTATGAATATTATTAGTCTTTTTGTAAAAAAAAACTAATAATATTCATAGATCTACGAAATTAGTCATTTATCTCGTTTGTATGAAATCAATTGATAGAATCGAGTATATGACGATTTGCTCGATATGCTCGATTTGAAGATCGATACATCCATGGCTAGATCGAGTTAATAAAATATGAAATACTTGATTGAGATATTTATTGTGCATGATATATTTCATTAAAAAATGATCGAGAAAGTTTAATCAATGTAATAAATTACAAAAATATAAAATAACCTTAAACTTTAATTACTATACCTCTATTTTAATTTTGCATTTCTTTATTAATCAAATAGAACAAATATTTATAAATTTATAAGAAGCACATCCAAGCACTTGGACAGATGCATAGCTTGCAAGGACTATTCGTTCTTAGAATTAATGTGAATAGCGTCCTATACATAGAACTCTCTCTCCCTCTCTCTATCTCTCTTTGTCGTTCGGCCCTCTCTTATTTGTAGAAGGAATTAGCATACGTATTTGCATTTGCGTTTGTGGCTTCTTCTGTCAATCATGCCGAATGCATTTCAAATTGCAATTTGTGCACAGACGAAAGCAGTCGAAAGCCTGTGTGCATGCAGATTAAGATATAACAAAGGCAAATTGCATGAACAGATTTAACAGTGGGGCTTACAGGTATTTCTTTTCCTCTCTCTCTCCCTCTCCCTCTCTTTCGCTCTGTACGTGCTGTGTTTACAGTATATTACGTATACGCGATTTGCCAACAGTCAACAAGAGTCTGCATTTGTATTTACCCCAAAGGCAGTGACATGAGACCATTGTTATAGTTAGCTGAATTATTTCGCAATTTTATGTTTTGAACAGCAATAGGAAATTTAGTTGGTTTTTAGTCTCAACTGTTTTCAAACAACATTAAATTTGATTTAATACAAAAATATTTTTGTATATTCAATACTACCTATATGTAACTATCTATATATACAGGAAATACCTAATTAATAAGGCTGCCAATATATCATTTTGTAATATTTCAAATTATTACCAGGCTTTCAGTCGAGCTAAATGCCGTTAATTTACTCGCACACCTGCTACTTAAAACTTAATGACAAACACACACACACACATTAGTTGTCACAGGTTTYTGCACGAAATTTGTCAACATATTAATTAACTCATGCGCGCTGGAAGCACTCAAAACAAATACAGGCGGGGCTGTAAACAATGTCGACAGTATAGAAGGATAGTTCTTATAGAGTTGAGAGCTGAGCGCTGGAATCATACGATATTTGCTACGAAGTAGTTGAGGAGAAAATTGCCAGCCATCAAATGGCGACATTTATAGTTGCGATCTGTGCCTGAAAATATCCAATTTCGAATTCCCACTGTGAGACGTGTGTCCAGCCCAAAGCAATAAACGAGGCTTGTACGCTTCACAATGCCGCAATTAATGGCCAAAAGTAAAAGTTCTGTGGGCTGGCTCAAAAACTGTCGAGGAATCGGGATGGCTAACACGAAATGTATGCGCGATTGGCACGCGAATAGAAGCCACAAACACAGATACACACGCACACACATTTACACATATAGACACACGTACACAAACAGAGAGACAACCCACGCAAAAAGTTTCCGCCTGGGTAGAGGAAAATACTTTTGCTTTTTCTTTTGCTGAATGAATACCGCGCATAAAATGGCCCGAGCTGCGTCTCTCGGTCGCTTCGCTCTGCGTTGCTCAGTTGCGCGCTCTCTTTCACGCACGCGGCAAAACATATGTGAAAGCTACAACTATAAAAAAAAAAAAAAACAAACAAACAAAAAGAAAGTCTAGAAAAAACAAAACCTTGTCAAGGACAAAGCACGCAACGCAGCCGAAATCAGCTGAGCAGCCTGTTAACAGTTGTTGCTGTTAGCGCTCTCTCATTTTCTCTCTGTATTTGCCGCTCTCTCGTTTTCGTACGATGCGCACGCTGTTAACGCCGACAGCGCTGTTGGCAGCAATGTGAATGCCCTGTTAGCTAGAGGTAAACATTTCCAAGAAATATTGTTAACTGAGTTTCTTCACAAAGCAAACATTAACAAAAACAAACTTGAGCAACATAATTGAATTTTCAATATCCTGCAGAACGACGAAAATGAAAAAAAAAGAATGTGTTTACACTTACGAATATCAACAAATATCTCCTTTGATTTTTATTTATTTTTTTTTATTTTGATTTGGCCACCAACAAAATTGAAACTGTTCGTATTTCTCTTTTATCAGACACGAAGGCCCGGTGTAAGATATCTGAAATTGTGTGTGTATATACTTGGGTCAAGGGAAATCAGATACATTAACCGAGTCTTAGGCTTTCAAACGAAATTTAAAGGCGCATTACAAATTGCAATAATCAAATCGCAATGGGGCCAGAAAAATGATGATCCTTAAGATTGATGAGCTCAAGAGAGTAGTTAATTGCATGCCTAGCTCTAAATATTATATAAATAGATAAAGAACGTTAGCATTAATATTCCTCTTCAGCCTCTGCTTCTCTCAATCGTGGGCCCCTTTCATTCACTTTCTTTTCAGGCTGCGCCTTTTGCTAACTGACCAGAAAATGGCTAAAATACTTCAAGTCGACATCCTCGAAAGCAGCAAAAAAGAAAATGAAAAGGAAGCCAAGCCAAAAGCAATAAACGGCACAACAAATGAAATGGCGACAGCGCAGCTGGGGTAGCCAGGCACAGGTCCTGGCCGAATGCACAAACATACTTACTGCCATGAGACAAACAAACAAACAATACACGCAACAACAATGGGCCTGGCTAACAACAAAAAATCAACATATTTCAGGAAAAGCAGACCTGAAGGACATGCCATAGGCAGGATATATGTCGTGAGCGGAGGAGCTAGCGAAAAGGAAGCATTATGTTTTAGCAAAAAAAAAAAACAATAATAGGCAGCCAAATGAGAATTTAGGCTACGTGCAGGGATAATTTAAGATGAAAGACTTGTGATCATAATCATGTCTCTGACGCCAAAAAGAACCCATAGAAAGGACTGACTGCTAGCCGCAATGATAATTAACTAGAGATAAGGCAATGCTTAGACTTACTATTCTAAATATAGGAAAATAATGATTTAGACAAAAAAAAAAAAACCAATTAGGAAAATTAACAAGCAATTGACTTGACCAAAAATTAGGGTTGGGATAGATAGGCAGCTCAGATAGGATGGGTAGGTAGACTAGCAGCGTTCAACGGACCGATAATCAATAAATGTTGTGGAAAATCTAAGACTGGGAAATTGTAACGCATGCAGCAGCTGATGTCAAACAAGCCAAAAATGAATTAATAATTAAAAAGTCAAAACTGAATTAATAATGTTAACTCCATTTCGTTCTTGATATATTTCACTTACATTGCTTTTGTTGTCGTTTACTTATGGATTTCTTTATGGGAACTGTATGCGTATGCGTAATATTCGTAATCGCCTTTAATTGACAATACAAAATAACCGATACAATATAACTAATAGTTGTGGTCGCTCTTTGTGTACGGCAAAACACACGCACACACTCACACACAATTCTATACACAGTCACGCGCCAAACGCACACACTAATACACACGCACCGACATATACATACATATGCTGTGATTTATATAACACAATGCTTAGCCTCGTCAATATGCTCTTGAGTATTGTTTAAAACCCGAATTAAAAACGTAAGTTGAACAGAAAAAATATTTAATATTTATACATTCGAGTCTGCCATATTTATGGCATTTTTTTTTTTTAGCTGTATTTTTTTTTTTTTTTTTTTTTTTTTTTTTTTTGTTCAGTTTGCTTTTGCTCGGTTTTTGTTCTAGTTGCTGCGCACGTTTTCTGTTTGCCTTGACTTGCACGCTCAACTGTTCACGATGTACTGTGCTAACGGTATTTGCTTGCCAATCAAGAGAGAGAAGCACGCACGTAAAAGAGCGTCCACTATGCAGGATTGGTTGAACTGGTTACAAGGGCAATTGTGCTCTCACTTACTCTGTTATGTGTTTAAAGGAACAGCTTCTGTTAATGTTAACAGTGCTGCTTTTCTAGCGATTTGAGCGTCAGCAAAGAAATATAAACACAATTCGAGTTCTAGATAATTATTTATTAAATTTAATAGCAAAAACAAAAACAAAAAAGATTCTCCAAAAATATTTGTATTAAGCATATAAGCAAATATTTGAGTGTTAGTTGATTCATTAATATTCCATTAAGTCTATAACTAATTAACGTTAACTTTTTTTGTTATTTATGGCATGATTGGAAACTTTTGCTTTCGCCGACATTAACAGTAGACTGTAAACTTCAAAAACCACAAACTGTTTGCTGTTGTTGCTGTCACAGAACTTTCACTATCAACAATCGACATGTGCCTAAGTATGCGTGCATATGTGTGTGTACGCGGTCTCTCTCTCTCTCCCGCTTTTCCTTTGTCTCTCTTTTTGCGCTGTTCTCTGGATGTATGTGTTTGTTGTTATTGCTGCATTAGGCTTGGGTACGGCTTTAGATTGCTGCGCACTCTCGCTGAGAGCGGCGTCAGCAGTTGTTGTTGTCGTTATTGCTGCTATTGCTGTTGTTGTGGACAGGCCTTTTTGGCCCACTTAGGGGCTTGTTTTCGGTTTTCAATGTTAAGTGCGATGAGAGAACTGCTTCAACGGGCAACAGCCGAAAGGATAGAGGTAAGGCGATAGGAAGGCCAAACGCACACGCCAAACGACTCCCACGCAAATGGCTGGCAGCTAAATCGCTGGAGTCTCTGACACTCACCAAGTATGACACACACACGCACACATAGGCATAGACAGACAGACACCCACACACACAATCAGCGTATCGCAATTATTTATTATAGAATACATATGTCTCGACGTTTTGTGCCATTGTACATCGAAATTGGACAAAATTGATTTACTGCCAATTACAATTTCACGCACATACGCAGCTGAAAGTTATTTGCGAAAATTGTCTATTGGGTAACTGAGTTAGTTTAAGCTTAGGTAAGGTCAGCAATTCAATTCTATGGAAATAAGCCGAGCTATCTATGCAAATACGACAATCAGACTAAATGTAAACATAATTCATTTGCTTTACAAGAATTCCAAGGACTCCATTCCATTACGAACAAAAAGACAAAGAAAATGTTTGTTGGGCTATCGCAGTTTATGTAATGTGCGTTTGTTTCTATTTCAATTTTTGTTGTCACTTGCAATTTCGACTCGGTAGGTTCAACGGACAAGCTAACCCACGCGTGTGTCTTGTCATTGTGCGTTCGTGTGTATGTATATGTACGTGTGGCTGTGTGTATGTCTGTGTGAGAGTCTGTTTTGTAACCATTTTGTTGCTCTGTTTGATAGAATTTCTCGCTTTGACCTTGTAGGCGCGTTTGTACAGTTATTGATGCCTATAACTGCTATTGTAATAATTGTTGTTGTTGTTGTCCTGACACGTGGCAGCGTTGATAAAAATTTGTATTTGCTGAGTGGGCTTCATTTGGTATGGGTATCGTATTCGGAGTGGTCAAAAGGAATAACAGCCGGATATTCTCATTGGCCTTGAGAAAGATTGATAAAGTAAATTGGTCTTAGAGAATATACATCTCTAGACATATATACATATATATACATGAATATACATATATAAATAAGCGAGCTTGATTCGTCTAGAAATTTCTTGAATCTTAGCTTAGAAGCAGAGAGATAAAATGTATAAATACCCTTACCAGATAATGTGCTGAGGCTTCTCGTTTATAAGACTAGCTTATTTTAAATAAGTTTTTAATATCAAACTGCCTTTATTTACATTCGCTTTAAAAAAAAAAACCAGTCCAGCGCACAAAAGGAGGCAACACTTTTTTTATTGCTCAGTCATGCAGGCGTGCGTATGTGAGGCGTGCTCGTGTGTGTGTGTGTGTGCGAAATAAATAGCGAGAAAGAGGGAGAGCGAGAGAGAGTGGCGGTGTTCATATGTGTGAGAGAGAAATAGGGAGCTACATACATGTATATGGCTAGTCACGCCCACACTTGTGCATAATATTATAATATTTTGTTGTTGCCCATGGCACAGAACACATTCCGAACAAAACGTTCGTCAATCTGTCAGTTTGTCAAGTCAATCGGCAATTTTAACTGCGCGTCGTCATTCAGCAATGAAGGCCTTTGAAGACTCGCCGGGACCCGCTGATAAACAAGAATCGATAAAGCCAAACGAGATGTTTTGGCCGAAACATATTCACAACCAAAAGTACATATCCCTTATGAGACAGCGTCGATAAAATCGGGCTATTATATGAGTTAAGTTTAATAGCAACTGCAGCATAAGTAAATATATCAACTCCAATTATATATACAATAAAAGAGTTTTCGTGGGGTATGCCAAACTAGAACTCACGCATACACAATTCTGATTATGTTCTTTCACCTTCAAACCAAAAATATTTTTTTTTAGAATCAAAATATAAGATTAGTTCTTTTAGTTTCAGTTTGGTTTAAAAATTGTATCTCAAAATTAATCAAAATTTAAGTAGACATAATTTAGAGAATTGAGTAATTTATTTAAATATATATTATTCGAATAAGCATTTCGGGCTATACTTATATAAGTGAATATTATTAAAATTATTAAAAACTAAATTCTTTTTTGTCCGTAAAATAAAAAATATGAAATATTTTTAAACAGACCAAAATATAGATGGAAGGAATAAAATGAATTTATTAAATAGTTACACACGTGTGCACTACATAATAATATCCCTTTTTAACTATTTAAATGGTACAAAAAGTATACGCTAAGGACTCTCTGATTATATACTTGACATAATTTTTTTTAGTAATACTAGAGCTGATCTTTATTGGCATTAATTCCGCGAATACCTAAGATAAGCTATGACTTTAGCTTTTACATATATTAGATAACGCTTTTCTAGCTAGTCGTCAAGCAATTTAACATCTAAACGGTTACAAGGACAATGCGATTATGCGAAATCTGTGAATATGTTTATAGCCAGAGGCTGCTGCTGCGGCTGTTGTTGGCATATGACCTTAGTAAGCCTGCTGACTGACGGGATGTGCATACAAAGCATTTGACTAAGCTCTAAACAAAAGAAACAAAGCAACAGACCAACCAACCAGCCAGCCAACCAACCAACCATCCACCCACCCAGTCAGTCATCCAGCCAACCAGCTAATAGGCACGAATTTCCATATCTATAGGCAGAAGTAACCTTCGTTGATATGCGCTACATTGCAACACTATAAACAAATTCTATTTAAAATTTAAATATAAGTTTGGTATAAAAACCAGTAAGAATATTTAAAAAAAACATGTTTTTTGTAAGTAATTATGATATTTACAGGTGTATATGTGCAACAGATCAAAGCTCTAATAATAGAAAATCATTGTTTTCTTTTTTTAGAAATATAAAGTGGAGACTACCCTATAATGAAAATATTCCTAGTCTGAGTATTCATTATAAGAATATGCATTTCGAATTTAAAATATCAATATCTAAAATTAAATATAGATATACATAGATTTAAATATTAAATCTTTAGAGTTTGCAGTTTATACAACTCTGTATATGTATCATTATCATGGATATCTGTTTGAATGTAATAAATATTATATTTTTTTAAGTTTCATATTCTGTATTATAATATTAAAATTTGCTACAGCGTACAATCAATTTTGTTTTTCTTTTCAAGCACCAAACAAAAATATATCATCTACAGACATATGTATATATCTATATATATCTAAGCTATATATGTATATCTGTACATACATATATACAATGCTATATAAATATAATTATAATTTTTAATCTATTAGTAGACAAACAGCTGGTAATCATTAAAAAGTAAATTTGTTAAAAGTGCAAACAAATAACTGTGAAGGGCTTACACCTGTCAAAACCCGTAATATTAGGTGTTTGAGTAGAAAAGCGCGCGCTAAAGCAAATACACATACATACATATATACATACACATGCAGCGCATTTATGTGTGTGTTTGTGTTTATATGCAATTAAATGCATACTTACATGTTAATGTACGTAATTTGCAATTAGTTAACTGGTCTGGCATAGAACCGTCGCGTAACCGTATTGCACGTTATAACTAAGTATATAAGCATTTAGATAAATAGCTTTATTTTCACATTTATCAAGACCGCTTGCGTCCGACGCGACGAAGCCACAAAACGAACTAAAATAATCAACGCCTGCGCCGGCAGTGTTAAGAAACGTAATAAAAAGAGCTCAGGTTTTTGCACAAATTGAATTGTTCTTTTTAATGCAAACAAACTGGTTCGCTTTACATAAATTCAGCTAAATTATAATTTAATCAACTAATAGTAAAATCATTGTCATGACTACAGTTCTGTGTGAGCATATTCTGTGGGCATCGAGTCCTTGTCCTTTGGCACGATATATAGGCCCTCAGAGGTAGTCCAACGTGTGCCGTGCTGTGGACTGTGAAGACCCACAATTTCCATTTGTCCAGAAATCGGTCGACCATATGACCGTCCCGACATGCCCAGATACATGCCAGTATCAACGTGGCGCAATCTAACGTGTGCATCACGCATCCAACTTTCATTGGAGCAGATCACTTCCCAGTTATCGCCAGTATCACCAACTCCATCGACGCCGTAGGCGGATACTTCTTGTTCGCCAGAAAGCGGAGACGAGAAATGATGCGAGTGCAGATTCTTTTTGGTGGTCAAGTGCTCCAACCGAATGGTTGCTCCACAAGCAATGGGTTCACCACGATCGCATAGTTTCTTAGTTTGTGCCTTAACCACCCAATGACTGTTCACATCTTCTTTCTGTTCTACCCCCGTCACCGATTGCTGTCCCGATCCCGATCCGTATTTAACATCGTGCGAGTGCAAGCGATACGAATAATCCGAGTTGAGCAATTTCAGTATGGAACCACATGTCACATAGTTGGTCTGGGCAGCTGAAAGAAGCAGTCGTTTTTTGTTGTCGTTGCTGTTATTGTATTGATAGGAATCAGAAAATTGCGCTTTGTGGGGCGGAAAAGGCTTCGTGGCCAATCACAGCGGCCCACATAAACGCCACAAAATATACGTACCATTGTTATAGGGTAAGCTGCTGATCAGCGCTAGAGCAACGAAGAGTAGTGTGTGTATCATCCTGTCTTTCTTCTTATGTTAACAATTAAGTACTTAAACTAATATTTAGAATGTAAAAATATTGGAAACGCCGATTGCGGCATAGAAATAAGCACACGCAAACAAATGATTTTGACAGATTGTGTTAGTGTTGGTGAGCGAACGATAGAGGCGTGTTCAATAAACTGACTCAAAGAACCGAATAACAGAACAGCTGTTTCCAAAGATTTGCGGCTGAATGGCGACTATCGGCCAATGATATTATATATAGATATATTACTCTGAAAATAGTGATAAAACCTGACTTAAACTTTAATTACTGATGCAATAGCTGCTAGGAGTTAAAATTATGCAATTTTTGAAATAGCATTTAGGATGTGATAACATAACAGCTGCTGCACAGCAGTATCAATTGAGTCGAACTTATCGATATGCGATAGGGATTATTCTGTGTCTCTGCAAATATTGCATTATTTCTTCTGTGAAAATAAGAAAAATTTCATTAAAGCAGAAATTAATGGCACATAAGCGCTTATTTATCTACGCTGTAATATTGGCGATATGTTATTTAGTTGGCGTGACATGGGTAAGCGCTGTACAATTATAAACTACGCCGTAACTTCAATGACAATTGTGTTTGTTTTATTTTGTACAACAAAGGCTGAAACAGCAACACAAACCTTGCCCATTAGCAGTAGCAACAACAGTAGCGGCAACAACAATGTCAGTCCACCAAATGCACCTGCCCAAGCGGCAGCAGTTTCTCCAGCACCAACAATTGCAACGCTAAAGACAATAAGCAGCACAATAACGAGCTCCAATGCAAGCAGTAATTCACATGAATGGTTTGTATGCCCTTTATATATATTTATGAAATTGCATATAAAACATTGCTAAATATTATCGTGTTTAGTACCTGTGCTGGCGCTCTGGCGCCACAATTGGATGCCAATGGCAGGGAGCTTCCCACATGCGCCAAGTGCAAATGCTCATCTGTCGGACGCAATTCCACACTCATAAAGGTGTGAATAATAATATTTGGCTGTATTTGTTCAATTTATTTTTAATTTGTCAATTTTTTCCAGGTGGTTGTTATCATAGTGATCTGGATAATATCCATTTTAGTGATATATATGCTCTTCCTCATGTGCTTGGATCCGTTGCTAAACAAACGCGTCAAGGCGAACAACTATCAGGAGCACACCAATGAAGATGTACATAACACTTATTCTAAATATGCAGGCATAAAATATAGTCAACTAGTTGCCACTCCTGATGATGATGATGATGATGATGTTGATCATTATCATGATCATGATGATGATGATGAGGCGCAGCTAGTTGGCAATAAAGAAACACTTAGCGTTTGATGCCTAATGGCAAAAGGCGATTTATATATATGTATACATCTTTTTGTTTTATTTTATTTAATATTTTTCAATTCGCACGCTCTAACCCAGTCTTTGTTGTGTTTATTAATTAACCCATTAACCGGCCTTAACTAATACGCTTCAAATTTTCCTTCTATTTTTGTTGCGGCTGATAGGACGAACCAGCTCCGCCTCTGCCAGCTAGTGCCAACAATCAAGAGCTGAGCGCTCGAGCTAATGTTCTCAATCGTGTTGGCCATCAGCAGGACAAATGGAAGCGTCAAGTACGTGAGCAAAGGCGCCACATCTACGACCGGCATACGATGTTAAATTGAATTGCCAAAAGAGAAGCCTTTGGCGTTGGCGACTTAAGACATTGTATTCCGGCAAAAGTTATTAACAATTATTGTTTAAATTTGTCTCTCAATAGATCAAAATTAATTTAAATAATATTTAGCAACATTTTATATAATTTAAATAAAATCATATATYCAATTACGATTAGAATTTTATTGACTTGTTAATCAAGTATTCTCTCAATCATTTATATATTTTTCCAAAAGAAGCCACAGCTTTTATTAATGATTTTCGTCTCTTATGATACATTATATTTGATAAAATGCAAACTAGTAGCCCGTGACGCCTTCAGCAAAGGTCCAGTTCTCCTCCACTTTGAAAGGTCCTTTAATGCTGCAGTCATTGGCAGTGCAAATGCCCACTGTATATTGAGGAAGACTGCGCGTATCACGATAGTACAGAACCTTCATTGACTCGCGAATCTATAATACAGATATTCGATTAAAAAATGTTACACAAGTAATGTCGTAGTTTGTTTTCTTACCAAGCTGGTTGCTTCTTCGAATGTAAACTCGCGATCCTTGGGCTTGCGCTCACGCACAAGTGGCAGAGCCAAATGACGTCCAAAGCCGGTTGCTACAACATAATCATCGTACGCTCGTCCACGCAGATCCACATTGCCCAAAAATGGCTTGCCAGCCTCATCGACACCGCCCACCACCACATCGATGTAGAGGGGATTCATGCGACAACGGCGATTGTAGAGGACACGCGTTAGCCAGCTGGACAACTCGGCTGGCTTCATGACGACGCCATCATTGCAGCACTGATCCTCGATCATCTTCTGATCAATGCTGCGCTTAATTGACTGTATGTCAGCAAAGTCGCCACCGCCACCAAGTAAAATTTTATTGTTGATCTGAAAGACGCGTTCGATGTTCTGGTAACGAGCCAGCGAGCCATACGAGACGAGGGTATCGGCAGCCACCAAGACTCCACCATCGAATCTAATGCCCAACACTGAGGAACCGGTAGTTATAGCAGCGCTACAAATGTACCAGAATTTAAGATGCAATTTAGTCAAGAGCCCAATTGCATTTACTTACGTGCTGTGCTTGGTGCCATAGGGACCTGCGGTTGTTAATTCACGAGGCAACTGTGCTGGGGCGTTATTTCCGCCCATGAAGTTGTAAAATTGACCTGGCGAGGGTCCGTTAAGCCACATTGGCTGTGCACAGCTGTTGTTCATCATTTTAACTGCTGTAATTATAGTACTTTGATATCAAATGGAAATAACAGCTAAAGCAAGCACAGAATGACGGGCACAAATAAAAAGCCGAACAGTTTTAGATAGCGACACAATTATTTACTTTTGCAGCACTGCAAATAGTATTTTTGCAATATCGATATACGTATTAATCGATAAGTGTGACCAGGGTAGCCAAACGCTAAGGCGACAGGCAGCTCTGTCACAACAGTTGGGCGCAAAAGTTGAAATTCTGAATTGGAATTTTTTTATGGAGCAAAACAAAACATAATTTTGATTAAAAATACATGAAAACCTTTATTTTTATAATAATGTTTCAATAGAGGGTACAAATATATATGTATGTATATTTATTTAATGCACACCTTTCAGGGGAATGTTTCTTAATTTTGCTTGCATCTTACAGATCGCATAATACAGATGAATAGAATATCAAGTACAGAGTTCAGCTTGCTAACCACTAAAAACATTTTTATATATACATAATTTTCAGAATTTTCAACAGTAAAGTACTCTATATCATTACAATCTACAGTCACGGCCAATGTTCAATATCTTATTAATTAAAGCTTTCCCAATTAAGTGCTAATCCTTGCAGCAACAATAAATATTATCACTTGAGCTGACTGGAGTTGTGGGCACACTAACACCTGGCTTTTGTGGCTTACTATAGGAATGTGGACCACGCATGAAAACATCTATGAGCTGACAATGGGAGCTGTAAATAGGTAGAACGAATTGAAGTCATGTTTCAAATATACACATAGGAAATATGTGTGCTACTTGCCTCATTGTTATATCTAGATCGGTAACAACTTCTCCATCGCAATTCCAGCTGGAGTACTCCGAGCTGACCCCATCACTGCCGTTCTGAGCAATTGGCTGGCGAGAGCCCGCCAAGCTCAAGTTCTCCTCTGTTGCGGGCGTTGTTAGTGTTCGAAAGATGAACTTACGTGTCCGGTAAACCTCAACAAAAGGCAAATTACGCTGCAATTAAAATATAGAATGTTAGCTACTAAGTTCTTTTCTATACTATATTGTCAATACTTACAATATCGCCGGCTCGTCCCGCCGTATTCAACAGGAACCGCACATTGTTGAGAAACGAAGTTTTGCGCACAAGAATCAGGTCCAAGCAGCCGTCCCCCAAATGACTATAGCGCGATATGCCATTGGGACTCCGTGCACAGGCGCACGTGATGTTGGCGCCGCAGATCAGAAAGAAATTGCCACGTATGGTCTTCAACTGCAGGCCGCTGGGCAGGCTCATATTGGAGCCATATGAGCCGCCTGGCTGCAGTGGCAAGCTAGTCGGACGCAACAACTGAGACCGGTACAACGCCGTTTCGATTTCATTCAGCTGCGACTCGCAATTTACGGCAACGGTTGCATCATCGTTTGGTTGCGCCTGCTGCTCCGCCGACTTTTTTTGCTGCTCTGCCTGCTGTGGCTGCAACTCCTCTCGACTCTCATCAGCATTCGCAGCAAACAAGGTAGAACGCTGCTCCTGCAGCGAGCTGGCAATGCTGCAACGCTGGCAATTGGCATAGCACACAGACGGCGGCTCGGTGTAAACACTGGCCGGACTTTGCGGCGTTTCCGGCTCTGTGGGCTCCTCGAGCAGCTGCAGCTCCGCGTCGTAGCCGCGATTGCTGAAGAAGGCCTTGACGCCACTGTACTCATACCGTCTCGTGCCCATCCAGCGATACTGCTCACTTTCGGCCGCCACATCGCCCAGATAGCCATAGCTCAGGACGCTGGCGCAGAAGCGCAGCAGCGTGCGATTGTTGCTCACGCTGCAGACATCGAGGCCACGCCTCTGGCCCAGTACCACATGAATGGCCGCAGTGCGCACGTCCGCGGTGCCGTGCATGCTGTAGACAATGGTGTCCGTGCTGCCAGCGGGTATCACGGCCACTGGCAAAGTGGGTCGTGGTATATAGGCTGGACGCTGTTCGTCCAGGCCCAACTCCCGCATGCGACGAAAGACCAGGCCGTTGATGACCTCTGCAACGGTGCCGTCGCCTCCCACGCAGCAGACAGCCTCATAGCAGCTCAGATCATGGGTGAGCAGTATGTCCCGGATTTGATTGGCGCGCTGCGTCGTTATGCAGGTGGCATCGATGCCCGCCAGCTGAAAGAGCGGACGCACGAAACGCTCATAGGTCTGGGCGCCAGCCTTGCGCCCCCCAAATGGATTGATGAACACCAACAGGCGCTGCACCCGCTGGCCACCAGTTGGCGAGGACGCAACACGAGCCTGAAGCTGCAGCTGCCACTGGCGCACAATGTACGCATCCGCATTGTAGAAGGTAATCCGGCGTAGCTGCCAGCGGTTGCAATCGGTCTTGGATTTGCTCAGGCGCTCCGCATAGTTGATGGTCAGAAACTGTGCCGTAGGCTTTGTGTCGCCATCCGCCTGCTGCTGATCTCGATTGGAGGGCGGCGGCTGCAGGCTCTCGTGTTTGCTGTTGCCCGTACAAATGCTGATGATGTCGTCCATGTGCAGAATATGGCTATGGGCGCCATAGCTGCTCTCAGCGCCAGCCGTCAGCTGCTGCTCGGGCAGCGGCACTTTCTGTGTTTCGTTTGGGCGCTTGACGGATTGGCGCTGCATGCGTTCCCACACCAGATGCTGGCCATGGAGCAGCACTCGATAGCTCTTCTTCTTCAGCTGAAAGTTGTTTAGCAACACGTCCGACGAGGAGCTGGCAGCGGCGCCGGCAGCACCACCATAAACATCCCCAGCTCCTCCAGCCGCTGCCGTCTTGGCGAATTCTGTGCTGCCGCTCTGCGTCATCTTCGGATCACTTTGAGTCTGCCATACAATAGAAGAAAAAGAAGAAGCGAAAAACAGGTTTCCATTAGAATTGCGTACTCATTTTACTGCCCCAGTCATAAAACTGAGCTCCGTTGCTTTTTTACTCTTTTCGTCTTTCTTTAATGAGTCAAAGTTTGTAATTACAAGTAAATGCATATATAATATAACATACATATATATGTACTATGTAGGAGCAAAAGAGCACCTGCATATATAATATGAGTAATTTATATATACACACACATTAAAAGAGCTCAAGACCTTAAGGCAAAGCTCTAAGCAAAGCTTAATAATAGAATTGCAAATACAAATGCTCGTTCACAGCTTACAAAAATGGGTATTTTCGCACACTTGTTCATGCAGTAAAACACGGGGAATTGCTATACAAAAAAAGAAATAACTACCTAAAAATATATATATATATTTTTTTTAAAGCTGGAATCAATAAAGACTTATGCTAGGCCTCTCTGAAATAAGCTCAAAATCTGATTTAATTAATTTAAGCTTCAAATCTTACATCTCCTAATTATGAACGAGTATTATGTAGTCCAGTGCAACCGTTTCAATGCTTTAACTTGTTATATTTAACATAGACATGTTAATTTTTCACTCAATGTAATTGAATGTTCTACAAGCAAATAAACATTTATGTATACTAATACAATATGCTCTAAAGACAGCTTTAAGTGCACCTTCATCTTAGATGTATTTAAAGGTATTTTCATAATATAATTTGTAGCTACTAAAAAAGTGACTTCATATTCCGTGTGCCACACACAATTACCAAAAAAAAAGCCCTCAGATTATTTTAGTTCTTGTTTTTTTTTTTTGCCACGCAGCCACGTTTGATTCTTTAGCTTTGCGTCTGATAAGCAGCGAACCGAATCAATATTATATAAAATTATAAACTAATGTTCGAAATTACAGTTCGTAAAAAGAGTTGCGGAATATATGTAGATATAATTGCTTTACCCTCGCCATTTGTGGGGCCTTTGGAATTTGTGGAGAACCAAATAATCTAAGCCATCGATACGTGTTCATTGCGATAAATAACTCGCAACGGCAAAGGCAAAGAGCACATGCTTATATACATATGTATGTGTATGTATATGACTAGCCTTTGTTGCTGCTAATTAGATACACAAACACCTTTTAGTACAGCTATCTGGCTGACAGAGCGAACGACTAAGCGAATACCCGAAGTCCAAAGCACGCCTTGACCGTAAACAAAAATACTTTTGCTATATACATACGTACATACATAAGGATAATTACATGTGTCGCCCACATTTTGGTGGCATTTTAAGGGGTAACCATAAAAATATAAAAATAAAATCAGAATAGTCTCAATTCACATTTATGACCCACACAATCGACGCACGTCTCACGCGTCGTATGAGCAACGATCAAGGCTAGCAGCGTCAGCCAGAAATACTCTTTTATTGTTGTTGTTCTTGAGAATCACTTCGGAAGCTGCAAAGCAGCACCAAGAAATGAGCAACGTTAGCAAAACTGTTGTTCCCAAACAAGTTATTGCTCTACACAGCTCTTCTCTCCAATATTGTTCTCTGATGTGCTCTACTCAAGACTTTGACTCTCCTCTCTTCCTCTCTGTGCTCTCTAATAATATTTTTTCGCTACACATTCCGATTTACTGCGGTCTTATTAGAGGTGCTCTGCTCTAATATTCTACTTTACTATCCTCTCCCCTCTGCTCTACTCTACTCTTCTTCAATCTACTCTACTTTCCCATTCTCTACTCCCCGCCCCACCACTCTACTACTCTACTCTACTCTACTCAACACAACTCTCCACTTGGGGCGTGCAGCTTTTTGACCTTCGCCTTGAATTTCAGCCAGTTTTTTGTTGTATACTCATTTTTGAACTCGACTCGCAAGAGCGCGTGTTTAAATACATACATATGTATATGTATATGCATACGTATTAATGTATATATGTATGAGTACGCATACATATACTAGCTGACTAACAGTTGACTAGAAGGTCGTTTAAGTCGAAATTATAGCCGCATATGCATCTAGTCTGGTCTTGTTCGTGAAAAATTCAAAAATAAATAAATAAAAACAAGCTGTCATGCAAATTATAATTAACATCGTTTTTACATATATATTTTGCATTTCCGCCTGGCAATTGAGGGAGCTTTATAAGCACGGCCCTACGGCAATAAATACAGATATTAAGTACATACAAAAATACACAATACACACACATAAATACATATATATGCGTGTGCGTGTATTTCTATAATTTATTACACTTCGCCCGCGTCTTTATAAAACTTTTCCCTAGCCTCGTATTTTCTTGTATATTATTTAACTAAAATCACATAAAAAGAATTGTTAATTGTTTGCATTTTCACTTTTAATTGCGAGACCAAAATTAATTAAAATTGTAATGAAAAAGCGAAAGGCGTATTAAAATGTAGAGGCAAATAAAATTTAATCAAATTAAATACATTAAAAATAATTAAACTAAATGCAAATAGTTAGCTCACTCAGAGAATTTCGATTTGTGAACTAAATAGAACTAGAACTACTGGCAATTAACCAAAGTACCGTTATTATCTTATCGTAGCTTTCGTTCGCGCATTTGAACTATTCTGAACAAAGTTATTTGCGAATTGTACTACAAAGCGAGAGTTTTGCTTAGATCAATCGGAATCGGTCGATTGCTTTCAATAGCACACGCAAGCAACAGTTTACTCAGATATTATCTTAACTAACGAGTTCTAAATAATATAATTGCATATGTGTATGTATGTACATAAATATATACGTATGCATACATACTACGTATACACGTAAATATCTACGTTAATGCCTTTGCAATGTGCTATCATTAATAGCCTTTTTCACCCGTTAAGAGGCTGTATTATTATTTGTCATGACATTGCCCTTGTAAATAAAAACAAAAGAAGTTCTTTAGTACCTATTCTAAACCAAATGCTTATCAATTTAAATGCCACCGTTGATTCATGTGGCCGATAAGATAAAAAAAAGCTAATAAAGCAATGGAAATGGATTTTATTATAATTCAATCCTAATCAATTTATAATGTCTCGTTCGTGGCCAACATTTACATTCAACGAATTATACATATATGAATTCTGATAAACATGTGTTTTACTTGAGCATGCGTCATATTTTATCGCACAATTATAATTTAAGATATTATAGCATAGTTCTGAATACTTTGTCAGCCTCGATGAAAATTTTAAGACAGGAGAAACAAAAGAAGTTCAATCGATAAATAAACACCTTTAACCTCATTTGAACTCGCAAGTTGACCCACCTTAAATATTTATAGCACACGCACACATGCATATGTTAAAAGGCCTTAGGGCAATAGTTGCCACAAAATGCATAAGGCAATTACGGTACACAATAGAAAAATGTGCAGAGGAGATGAAAATTGAACTGAACTACATACATACATACAGCGAATAGCCGACTACAAAACAATAACAAACACAAAAGCACACATACATTTTACGCCAAGCACCGTTATCAGAATACAGCTGGGAGTGAGTACACATGTGTATGTATATAGATAGTTGTTGCACATGTGTGAACATGAACATACATACAAATTCTCAACTCGTTTTGCGTACGCATTGTGTGTTTCAATTTCAATATATGCATGTATTAATGTTTGTATATATCTATATACTCATATATTTATATTAGTGTGTGCTTTTGAATGCTCGTCGAGTTTATTTGTACTTATTTTGTACTGCTTTTGTCAGCGGGAAAGCCGGCAGTTAGTTAGCTTTTAAATTGAGCGAATTACCTTATAGAAATAGAAAGTATCCGTATATCCACGCAATTATAGGTTCACTACATGAACAAGCTGTTTCCTTCTACTACTTGCAATTATTTATTGGGAAAACAAGAAAATTCGATACGCATTGCAATTTTACACACACACGCACACATTTATACACTGCCAAACCATACAGTAGTTAGATAAGTGGTTTCTCGATTTGCACGAAGTACATTATATACCTTTTACAAGAACACAACTGACCTATTGAAAATGCAACATTATTAGAAACTGACAACGTAAATCCACAATCGCATTGCAATAAAACACGAGCCGTTAAAAATCGCGATGCGCAGAACGTACCATCCACTCGAAGCAAGCAAACAAAATACTAAGAGAAAAACTTGCGGCAGTGTGACCATTGTTCGACAGCCACAAAATACCACAAAAGTTTCACACAAACCACTTAGCACTAAATATATTACTGACATTTATCTGTAGTCTGGCAATGCCAAAACCGTTAACGTAAACAAAACAGGATTACTGAGTTACTTTTAGCCAATATATATAAATATTTTAAAACTATCACAAAAACTGAAACGCTTTTGTATTTGAATCATATATAATTATTCCCATTTTTTAATGCAATAAAACAAATAGTCCAAATTTCTGATTTATTTTTGGCGCCACAATATGAGTAAGTACCATCAATAATTATCCAACTGTCTGTTTTTATTAAGTTTGGTACCTTTTTTGACAGGTTCTCCCTGTGGCAAGTGTAATACATGTGCATGTTCTGGTCAAACAACTCAGCCGTCTCGACAAGAGCCATGTGGGCAATGTGGACAGGTACATTCGCAGCCGCAACACCAAGTTAATTGTCCTTCGCAGCAACAACAACAGCAGCAACCAAGATCTTATTCAGGACCGCAACAGCAACAACAACAATCATCTTATGGTGCAGGTCAATCGAAAACGACAGGTATGCAAAATGAAAAGAGATCTAGAGTCGAATGCCGCTGTGTACCCAACAAAGATAGACGGAACGCACCTGTGCAAGCACCATTGGCTGATACATACACTTGTTTGCGACCACGGCCACAACCCCAGGCTCCAGAGCAGCCGATGTGTACGTGCAAGCAACAGACTGCCCCTGCCACTTGCGAATGTGCCCCACCAATTCCGATCCAACGGCCACCAGTTAATTGTGACGCACAAAATACGGCACCGCCGACACATGCATATATTAGTTGTGGCACACCAACTAACGTTAAACGCCAACCGGACCCATGTACTGGACCTACCGAGCGCGATATGGTTCCGCCATATATGAGGGATAACACTAAGACAAAGCGTCAGTCATGTAGCCACTGCCAATCGCAAAAACAGAAGAAGAAGTGCGTCATACAATAATATAAAACACGATTGGGCACAACATAGTAGGCTGACCGGGATCAGTCGGGCACATGAGCAATACAAAAATGTTTCAAACTCATTATTTGGAAACAATTTACATTTCAGTTAAAATTCTATAAAAAGCAACAAAATTTTCAATTGTTAATACGAATACGTGGCATTTAGTCCATCCCTATATATTAGTTGAGCCATTGCGCCACCTATCAGACCAAAAAATAGGCAACGATGTCCTGTAATGTTCCTAATACGGCCTGCAACACAAAGTCGAAGAACGCAAATCAGGGCTGCTGTTGCTCGCCAAGCTTGACGCGCATGCCACCTGCGATTCAACCATGCGGCGCCACACAAACTCAACAGTGTGCCGTAAGGACTGGAAGCGTTCCGGTTACCTACAGCAGGCCACCAAACCAAGGAGTGTGCAGTCATTGCAAGGGAAAGCGCAAGAAGCGTTGCAGCATTCAATAAACTTAGGCAATGTAAGCTTTTTTTTCCAGAATTGTCAAACTATTGAAGTTAAAGTTGATCAAAGTTGGCTTCAAAGGATGACATCATTTTGAGTTATTCAAAATCCTCATTTTAAAATTCAATTCGTTTGGAGAACAAGTCTTAGTTCCAAATGTAACAGTTTGGAAAAAAAAAATTAACAAAATATACGAAAATCAAAAATTGAAGCTGTTCTCCTCCCATCGCGAATTTCTAAAATCAGAATGTCCAAGGCTGCAGTACCAGCTGGAAAAACCGGATCGGAATCGCCCGGAGCAAATGTGCCCAGGCAACAGTGCGTTTGCAATCCACCAGAACTTCCACCACAGCCGTGCCTGCCGCAGCCAGAGGTCATAAGAATTCCCTGCAACCCTACACCTGTTGCCCGACTGCCTGAAAATACGTATTACCGCTGCGACCCTCCACCAAAGGTTTCCAGGAACCGTAAATGCAGCATACAATAATTGAAGCGGCAAAATATTGAACAGAATATGAAAATCAAAAACAGAAAGAAACATAGAACATCATAGCAGGCGTTAAAAATGGAAAGAATAAATTGAACAAAAGCAACTAAATGGGGGCAGCTTCTAAATTTTGACATTCACAGTTATCAAAATTTTCAGTTCTCCGGCCATCCAACTTGAACAAATTGATTGCTGATGGCAAGTAAAATCAATTAATTTAATTCAAATTTTAATTTAAGACTTTCCACAGTATAATTTTTTAGTTTTCTATTAGAGTAAGATACTAATCGCATCAGTTCAAAATGTATATGGATGGTATGCCCCTCTATATTTAAAAAAAAAAAAAAAAAAAAAGAAAAACTGCCGATCGCAATTTGAAATAGGGGCCTTGAACCAAATGTGATTGCTGATGGGTAAGTCAATCGTTTTTTTTTTTTTTTTTTTTTTTTTTTTGCACGCTATCGATATAATTTGTTCATTTAGACAATCACGCGATCTACGGTTACGGCGCGACACGACGGGAGTTTGTGAATTGTCCCCGTCGGCAAAGATGCCAATCGCCCACTTACGTTTTGGAAGGGGGTTACAGAAGCCCGTGCAAACGACGCAGCCGGCACTGTTTTGTCGTTCGCACTCCACCAATCGCCAAACTTCGACCAGAGTCTTGCCGTCAAAGGCGTACTATAATTAATGATTGTGATTGTAGTAGCTCGCAACTCCAGCCAGAACCAATACTTCGGCGAACTTGTCGACCCTCACCATCTGTCAGCCCATCCGTATCCTGTTGTTGTCCGCCAGTGGAGCCTACAATATCATATAATTGTTTTCCAATTCGGCAACCAATGCCAGAAACACAAGAGATATGTGTGCCTAGACAGCGGGTCATGGAACCGAAGAGATCCAATTGTCGATTAACTCAGCATGTGCCCGCGCTACCTTATCCAAATCCACCTGATCGCTTTGCGCCTGCCATGGAATGTGTAAACGCACCTATCGACGAGCCCATTGATCCATATTATAATTATGATCGTAATCGCCAATCGTCAATTCCGGGAGTAGCTCCGCTGGCCAACTTTGATTTAAACAGATACGATCGCGATAATATTGGCCAAGCTGGAAGTCCAGGCCGTCGAAGGAATGTCAGTATTCGTACATGCGTCGATTACGATTATGAGCCTGGACATCCTCAATATTCAAGTCGTCCGCCACCTCAAGATTGGCGTCATTCACACCCTCAATTTATACCAGTACAACGGAATAGATATCCCCCACCTAGCGAATATGACTGGAAACCTGAAAATAGAGGATGTTCTCGATATCCAAGCCATAGATAGATTCTCCGTTTTCCAAGATTTTCAAAACACAAAATTAAATACCAGAACTTAAAATACCAAAAGATGCAGTGCTGCTATCAAAATTGATCGTTATGTTATCGAATAGCCACTACAATAGAAACATTCGGAAAATAACCAGAACGCTGTAGCGTGTTTGGTCCATAAATTTAATATTTTAAAAATCGTATCACAACTAAAGAAGAAATGGATGATGGAGAATATGATAACGATGAGTGCGTATTGAATCTTCGAAATCTAAATTGATTGCCTTAAATTATCTTTCTACGCCAATCAATTTGCAGTGTCGGCGGCGATGACTTCGATGATGTCGATGAGGATGTAGACGAGGATATTGCCCAAGAGGAGGAAGTTGACAATATAGAGATCATTGCGCCCGGTGGCGCAGCTGGTGGTGGTGTACCCAAGTCCAAGCGCATCACCACAAAGTATATGACGAAATATGAGCGTGCGCGTGTCTTAGGCACACGGGCCCTGCAGATTGCAATGTGTGCACCCATTATGGTTGAGTTGGATGGCGAAACAGATCCATTACAAATTGCCATGAAAGAGTTAAAACAGAAGAAAATTCCAATAATAATAAGGCGGTTTTTACCAGATCATTCATACGAGGACTGGAGTATAGATGAACTCATCATGGTAGATAACTAACGTGGTTAGACGTATAAAATTGGAATATACTTTCAAAATTTTATTTTTCGAAAATATAGATTAATTAGTAATAGCTGCCTAAGAAAATGTTGTGTATTATTTTAAGACAGAAAGGTACTAGGTCAGCTCCAAGCATATCCCTCCCCTTTTTGATAACAGACACGTTCCAGCAACCCAACAGCATTTTGACCTGTCCGACAAATTGCGCTCACTACAGCGGGCAGTAGACCACAGTCGGACAGATTTTGCTCTCCGAAAACCTGCAAGCATCCGGCATCGGTCTCCACAGCCTCCTTCGATTCGGCAGGAGTGGTAGACTCCAGCAGCTTCTGCGTCGCCTTGCTGAAAGAGAGTGTATTAATACTGCTGGCCAGCGTGGCACTAAATGTGTGTCGCGTCTCGCACAGCAGCATCGCAACGCTTGGCAGGAATGTAGGCAACAGCACTCCTTTAATATCAATGCTGTGGTAATCGATGCCATCGAGTCTTACTTTCTTGGAACGTGGCACCAAGTGCTGCATCGTAGCTTTGGGAAATGCAACAGGAGCCAAAAGCGTGGGTGGAACTCCCGCCAGGCGGCCCACGCTGGTGATTGTACTTTTGGCATTGAGTAGATAACTGAAGAAGCCTTGACACTCGACACCTTCGATCAGCAGCAAAGAATTGTCACTAAAATCCTCGGACATTTCGGCTGCCTGCAATTTCCTTGCGTGCGTCGTTTGTATGCGACGTAATTCGCGCTCATCCACGCCCAAACTTTCCAGCCAAGCATCATCATCGTCATCTTCATCGGAAATGTGTTCAATATCTTTGGCCTGGCCATAGGCTAGACCCGTTCCACTATCGCTGGTGTTTGCCTCGGTCTCTTCTGTAAAGCTGCCATTCGAGGCTCCTCCCTCTCCAGCGTCTTGTTGCTGCTTCAGTGGCATGCTGTACTCAATCCCCTCCTGCTGAAGTGCGCTACGCATGCCACGAGTAGATGGTGTAACCAAGGCATGTGTTTCTGGTCGCCCGCCAGTGCCAGCTGCTCGAAATAGCACCGTAAAAGAATTGGCACACAAATAGAAGTACGGACATTGACGTGCACGAAGCAACTGAAAGAGTCCTCTAAAGCTATAGTCCCACTCTTCGGCCAGTGCCTTACGCTCACGTTCACCAATTGTGATTCCATTATTCTCCTTAGCACTGCGCGGAAATAGCGTAAGCCAAGGCAGATGCGGATGCTGCCAATAGTAAGTGCATTGATTGAATCGTGTTGCATCCGATATATCCAGGGTACTCTCCGTCTGGTTGGTGTCGAAGCAACGCACAAAGCTGGTCAGCCCGCTGGCCACCTGTGAGGTCTTAAGTTGTGTGGAGGGGAGCTCAGTTGGACAGAAGAAGCGCACTCGCGTCTTAAGGCACCAATCCATTGGCAGATGTGGCGTATGCTTTTGTCGCGCTGCCAATGCGGCATCATCTTCCTCATCGGCTTGTGTGGCCTTGGCTTGATGCAGTAGCTTTGCAAATGCCTGAGCATCGAATTTCTGTAAATTTAACTTTGCTGCTGGCGGACGTGTGGATGTCAAGCATGCTAAATTACTTGTTGCGGTATTCCTAACTTCGGATGCAGTTGCATCGTACGCTTGATCATCGATCTTTTGCTTCTTGGCGCCATCTGTGGATCTGTAGAAGCCATTGCATTAGACGGCGAACAGCTGATTAAAAAATAATACGTACTTGGCAAATGGGTTATTGCGCTTTTGTGCTATTTTGGCTTCCAGTAACTTGCTTTTATCATTGTCATCCAATTCTGGGCGCTTGTTATTGTTGTTGCTGTTCACACGTGCCGCAAGTTGTTTCTTTTTTTGTTTTAGCCTTTGCAGCTTTATAAACTGAAAAATAAATATATTTATTTAAAAATCTATATCTTTGTGTTTCGAGCAGCTTTAAATACATCGTCGGGACGCGTCCATTTGGAGCTTAAAATCCCATCGCTGGACATAACTGAAGATTAAAATAATTTTTGTCAGCAACAATAACAGAAGTCCCGCGTAAAATCTTTCTTTGTTGTTGTTTTGGTGCATTTTTGTGAATTTATCAAATTATGGATTCTTATCGATAAGTTGTATTTTAGTACGCGATAATTTATCATTTTGTGTCCATCCCTAATCTGACAAAAACATCTGTATTGTGTATTCTACTGGTGAGATATATTTCATCTTTAAAACGCTGATACATACCTATTTTTTCTAAACTATATACAACTTTAAACTAGCTTGAAAATTACTTCTTTGAAAAACAAATACAAAATTTGAATTTACACAAAACTTTACAGTAGTAACGGCGATATTTCCTGGAAATATTGCATGTGGTGACTGTAATTACCAGATTATCAAACTGTTAAGTTAACATAGTACCAGCCCATAAAGACACTAAATCACTAAACGGAAAGATAAACAATTTGGGCTTTATTGCCAAAATGGATAACTTACACGACGTTTGCCGTATATGCGCCAATAAAATAAAGGACAAGAAGCGCCAGCAGCACTTGTTCAACTATTTGCGAGGCAAATTACTCCACAATCTGAAACTCATTACCGGAGTCGAGGTGAGTTACCTTTGTTGGTATGTGCTCCACAATAAAGATACATGTTTGTTATAGCTATCATCCAATGAGGGCTTGCCAAAATATATTTGCGTTCGCTGCAGCAACGAACTGGACTTGGCCATTAAGTTTCGGGAGCGCTGCATCTTCACGCAAAAGTATCTCAAAGAAGTTTATACAAAGCGGCGTAGCATCGAACTGGTAGCAAAATCGACTGAGCCTGAGCTTCACGAAGATTTGATCGATGAGGAGCAGTTGGAGTACCTCGATGATGATGTGCAAGTTATAGAAGACATTAATGATTATGTAGCGGAAGATATGAGTGGCGAGGACTTTTTGGAGGAAACCGAAGATGTAGAAGTGGAAGTGACAGAGGAACAGTCGAGTAAAGAGAAACAGCATTGGGTACTCCTAGAAGACAGTCGTCCTAGTAAACGTGTGAGAAACTTTTTTATATGTGAAGAATGTGGAGAGTTTTTCAATACGGAGAGCTCCTACAATTTGCATATCAAGGGACATATGCAACAAAAGGAAGCCAAACGTTTCTTTCCGTGCTGCAAATGTCCTTCTACTTTCAACACTAAAATCGCCTTGAAAGCCCATCGTGAACAATTTCATACCGGCGATCGGCTTTTTAAATGTTCAACATGTGGCGAAACGTTCATGCAACATAGTGCCAAGCAGAGACATGAGAAGTAAGTGATTACCCGCGGTTTGTCTGTTGCTATAGTTTATACTTAATTGATTTATAACCTTTGACAGAGAGCACATCAATGAGAGACCGTATCCCTGCTTAGAATGCGGCGAAGCCTTCCAAAGTTTACTCGAATTTCGTGCGCATTCTACAAGTCACGATTTACGAACATTTAGGTAAGATTGTTATACTATATAATTATGCTGGAATTACAATACACTCGTCTCCTTGCAGATGCGAGCCATGCAACATGGACTTTAGAACACGCCAGAATCTCGTATCACACTCAAATACATATACACATAAAAGAACTCTGCAGCAAATGCAGGATGAACTCGATCTGCTGTGCGGCGAATTTCAAGATGAAACTGGTTAATTAGTATTATAAATATAATTTTATTAACTAACATTAAATATAAGTTAAATTACCATTTAATGCACTTTTGCACAAGTGCAAAAAGACATTAACAGAAGCTTTGGCTAACATAATCGAAATACAAGAGCTTTGAATAACCAAAACTTGCGCATGCGCCTGACACACAATTTTCCATTTTCCCAAACTACCCTATATATGTGGGAATAGAAAAGCATTTTGCGGGTATTCAGTGTATTCAACTGGTTGTCAGCACATCAGAGGGCAACAACAGCGCAATTGAGGTTTATACGAAATAAATACAGCTGGTGCAACCGAAAAATCAATAAGTCTTTCCACCTCATACGTAAGCAAAGATAACAGCTCGACAAATGCGCAATATGGTGGCCCAGTCGAAAGGTATTTGAAATAAATGCGTGAAGAAAATATATATTTATATGTGTGTGAATTAATTACAGCTTTTGGCATGCTGCTTGGCTGCCTTGTTTTGCTAATGGGCAGAGCCCAGGTGCATGCCTATGACTCCAAGGACAGCATCTTTGCTGATGTCCTGTTGACCGAGCTGTTGAATCGCATGGATAATGACATGCAGGTGGGTTACTACGATGTGGATAATGAGGGCGACTTGGGAGTGGCGCCTGCTGCTGGACCTGGTGTAGGCAAAGATAATGTGGATCTGGTGTCGCGCTCCGAATACGCCAGGCTTTGCAATGGCGGCAGCGATTGCTTGCTGCAGTCGGCCAATACCAATCCATCGCTGCGCGATCAAGAGTTCCTGCAGCACAGCTCGCTCTGGGGACATCAGTACGTGTCCGGTGGCATGAGCGAGATGCCCAATAGGTACAATACGATTGTAAAGACCGATGCCAGTCTGCCAGCTTATTGTAATCCACCCAATCCCTGTCCCGAGGGCTACGACATGGAGCAGCAGGGCGGCAATTGCATCAGCGACTTTGAGAATACGGCCATCTATAGTCGCGAATTCCAGGCTGCACAGGACTGTACTTGCGACAGCGAGCACATGTTCGACTGCGCTGATCAGGATAATGCCGCAGGTGCCGGACCAGGCAACAGCGATATGAACTCGGCTGTGGAGAAATTCCTGATGCATCAGTTTGGCAATGAAAATGGATTGGAGAGCTCCAATGGTGTGGTCAAGAAGACTGGCCATTTGGCCGGCCTACGCATGGATGCCATGCCCAATCCCTTCCTGCAGGTCGGCCCGGATGATCGTCTACCCATTGCAGCTAAAAAGGGCAATATGCTCTTTCACTAATCAGGCCACAATGAACCAAATATATACATATATATTTATGCACTTACTGTTTGAACATATTTGTAGACAGTGTTCATTTATAATAACTTATCGAAGTCCTTTCTAAATGTTATCTCACATGCATATATAAAGCTCATGGCAGCTTCCAAGGTACCAAATAGAACAATTAATCAATAATAAATTATGGCTAGAAGCCAGCTACCAAAACAAGCCATTATATCATTTCATGTATTCGTATATATTTGACAATAATTGGTTTTATTTTAATAACTACTAGGTATATATAGCAAGATTCATGTATATATTATAAATAGGGTTTCCAATCCAGCTTTACAATGAGTATTATCTGTCAGCATTCACTGGTATTGTGTGTTTTAGTAGACAAACCCAACTTTTGCTTAGGGCGCCATCATCACAATTTATTAAACCTAACCTAACAAATGATATAGTATACCATATATATGAAGACTGTGAATTGTGCATTCGCATACGATTCACGATTCAATAAGTACAACTGGCAGTGTGATTAGCTTAGCATAATATTCGTTGTGTATATAACAAGGCTCCAGCCATGTTCTTTCAATATACATTCATACATACATACAAATACAAACATACCTACATATTTCGAAATATACAGGCAAACAAAACACGTCCTCTGACTATAAACTCCAATTCGATGCGTGAGATTCAGAAAAGTCGCGTCATTTGTTCATAGGATTGCTAAATTAAACACTAATATTCTAAATGGATTCCATATTCGTCTGATATGTAGTTCACAAACGTCCCGTATTATTCCCATTTACATTTTGGCCCCATGACACCTGATGGGGATTACGGGTGGTCAGCCGCAGGGAGTTGCCATCGCCATCCTCGTCGATGACATGCTCGTAGCCCTGATTTATAGTTCCCCCGCCATTCGAGCCATAAATTTGCTGTAAAGGACGTAAGCATATAGTTTGTATGAGGACAATATAGTCGGGCATGACCGACTGCATAATACTCGTTCATCAAATGTCAAATTTTTAAGTACAGAAATATCTTCACTAATAAACATCGTAATTTAGGAAAACAAATTCTTAAATACGGATGAAGGGAAGTATGTATGTACCCTTAACAGTCAGCTATTCATTTCCGATTCAGCAACTCACCTCTGCAGGTCCCCCATTCACATTGAAGACATCCTTGATGCTGATGCCTGCATTGGACACGCGTCCGCTGCGTGGATTGGGCAGGACACCATTGTTATTAACCTGTGCGAAAGTAATCTCGATATATTTACGAAGGATATCAGCGAGTCTGTTTTGTACTTACTGCAGGCACTGTGGTAATTCCGTACTCGTTTTTGGCGCCCAGCGTTTGCATTGCGGATTTCCGTCGTTCCGCCATCACGGAATTCTTTCGCACCTCCAAAGCGCGTATGGTCTCCGCTCTCATAGTGAGGCGACGCGTCAGAATGGGCGTGGCTGGATTATTCTCAGCATCGGCGGTTAGCTTAAGGAAACGCTTCTTGAATGCCACATCCAAGGTACCAATTTGACGACGAGGCTGGCGAGCTTTCTCCAAATTTTGAATGGTCTTTCGTCTGGCTATGCGATCGGGTCCCGAGCCGGAATCATTGTCGTAATCCCCATCAATGCCTTGCAAACGTTGCAGATTCTTGACTATTTCCACAGCGTGCTAAAGAGAATATAAGTGATAAATGAAATGTGTATATATATACAAATATATGTATATATATATACCTTATCTATAAGCTGATCTTGCGTTAGATCCTCAGATTTCTTTTTGCAGAAATTCAATTCCGTGGAGGCCAGGATATGAGAGAGAGTGCCGAAACGATGGAATAACATGGCCGTAAATTGTATTACCAAAATCAGGGCAAAGAAGAACACAAAGACGAGACCAATCGGCTCCAGCTGCAGATACTCCTTGGAAATGTGCACCTGTATGGGGAAAGATGTATTTCTATTAGCACAAAACTCTATAGTGATATGAAATGATTTGTTAGTAACATTGAACAATGAATTGATTGAACGATTCTTCGATTGGAGAAATGGCAGACTATAGTACCAAATTGTCGGTGATAGGGCTATGTTTAATGTGTGATACCATAGATATGTGTGTGATAGATATGCCTGGATGCATATCTGTATGCCGGCATGTATATTAATGTCTATACATTGAGGCTAATATATTATTGTAATTGTTTTTTTGTTTTTTTAGAGTTTATGGCACATTAGAATCTTGAGCGTTGATATGATATAGTATTGTTGTTGTTGTTGTTGCTGTTGTTGGTGGTGATGTACCAAAACCATTAGGATGGGTTTTTTTTTTCAAACAAATAAACAGGAAGTAAACACAGGAATGCCTTGTAAACACATAGAAAAGTAGGATCATACATATATAACATTAGAAACATTCATTGGGTAAGTATGTATATATATATATGTGTGAGGAGCACATTAAAACGTATATAGTGTGTGTGAGAGAGAGAGAGAGATAGGAAGAGAACGAGCGAGCCGAAGGAAGTTAGAGGTCCCGAATAGGTAATTCGTTTTAGATAAGTTACACAAACAAAACAGTGTTAAACAAAAGTTTGATTGTTATTGAATTTAAAAACCTCAGATGTCTCTTCGATATACGTAATGTTGGTTTTGACGCCCAACGGCCATATAATATGCAATTTATCCTTATTCAGTTGCAATAAGAAGACAATCAATACAAATAACGCGTTGGCCATAAAAAACGCAAAGACCGACTTATTCCGCAGTTCAATCAGATCGGCGGCAATGCGGGCCTGTGCTCACACACAGTTTTACAACCGATATATATAGAGAAAGAGAAAAAAACCAAAAAAACAAAAAAAAAAAAAAGAAACTGTTAGTAGTGCTTGTAAGGGACTCAATTACCTCCTGAGTGGATTCGTCATAGGTTATATTGGTGCGCACACCAAAGGGCCACTTGACGTGAATGTTGTCCTTGTTCAATTGCAGCAGGAACACGATCAACACGAAGAGGGCATTGATCATGAAGAACGCAAATACAGATGAGTCGCGCAGCTCTTTCAGATCTTTAGCTATACGGGCCTAAAATTATTTTATCGGCAGGTGTTGCGGGTAGCATAAGACATTCACGATCTGCACCTAGTTGGTAAAACTAACTAAATATGATAATTGGCTTACCTGCTCCACGGGATCATTGTCAATGGGATATAAGTACTGATCGATCAGATCCTTCCAGAACTGGATCTCCGAACTTGACAAGAAGTCTACCTCACCCTTACGCACATCCGGGTCCTCGATCCAATAGGGATTCGTCAGAAAGTCTCGTTCCTGTTTAGGCTCTGCCGATGTATCCGAATCCGATTCATCCGACTCATCGCCCGATTTCTCAGCCACCGATGTTAGCAAATGATGATCCTTCGAGCCGCTGGACGTGGTGCGTCGTCTATTGTGACGTGATGCATGATGGCCATGTGGATCCACGGCGCTCTCGATGCTGTCAATACGGTTCTTGATTGTATCCAGAGATTCGGCTATGCTCGCCAGCTGCTGCTTCTCGTCGGAGGTCTTGCCGTGCGTGCAAAACACGCAACGGAACAGACCAGCCAGGGAAAACTCAATGGAGCCCTCCTCATCGTCATTGTCGCCAATGCCACTCTGCAGGAAGCCCAGCATGCTCTTCTGCTTCACTCGCTTTTTGGCTTCCTCGGCGGCTTTCTTTTCCGCTTCC